GGAGCAGGACAAGCAAACATGTCTGAGTCTTTACATTGCAGACTGCAGAAGACTCGACTTCACCTGAGGATGTAACACAGGCACCCATACCTGTGTCTTCAGAGGGCAGGTGTGCCCTCCCGCTGTTTTCTACACCAAGGACTGGCCGGCAACACACAGATACAAGGACTGTGAGCTCATGTTTCATGTTTGCGCATAAGACCCTTGTAAATACAAACACAAGGATAATGAGTTTATTAAAGAGTTCAGATATATGTTCACTTCTGTTATGTGAAAATAAAAATATGTTTCCAATATTGCCACGGTTCGCAGGTGTGAGACAGTGGACTTTCCAGTGTTGCTTCTCGGCTGTGTTATTTACTACCCGCGACAACCTTGCACGTAGTGCCTCTTAAAAACACCCTGGTTCTTTTTCACGTTGACGAATGTGCTTTGCATAAAAAGTGCAACAGTGGTCTTGTTGTTTGTAATCAAGACCAGAGCCACTCGCCGAGGCCCTGACTGACCACCACGGACACAGACTGACCACTCACCGAGGCCCTGACTGACCACCACGCGCACAGACTGACCAGAGCCACTTACTGAAGCTGACTGAGCACCTTGGACACAGACTGACCACAGCCACTTACTGAAACCCCACCATGCATACAGTCCACACTCCCTGACGGACACGCACACGACTGCTGGGCTCACACCCTGACACAGACGTCAAGATGCAGGGTGACCGGCGCGCAGTGACACACCGACACACGATTGCAGCCACACACACAGCTGTTGCAGCAGCAGCCCTGTCCTGGGCACAGCGCTACAGGAGAGAGTCCCCAAACTGGAGTCAGCACAGTGCAACGGGGAAACATTCTTATAAACTCTTTAATTGCAGCCTGGAGTCAAAAAATTGCATTAAGGGCATTCTAGAAAATTATAACTCTCGAGTTGACGAGAGTTTGGACAATGAGGGTGCTGAGAGAGAGGGCGGGGGGACGGGGGTCACCAGCTGATGGGACAGGCGCAGGGGTGCTGGAGAGGTTTGTTTCGAAAGAAGAATCACAGGCGCGCAACCGTCCCAACTCGGCGCTGGGACAGGCCAAGAGGGTGGGCACAACGAAAGAAAATAAGTGAAATCAAGGGGGACAATTTACAACCTGTAACGCCACCCGACCAGGTGCGGACGTTCTCGGGAAGGGGCGAGGCAGAACCAGAACCAGGCCCAGGGGGAGAGCAGGTCCAGCGGGGCCTCGGGTACCACCAGGAGTGGACTCCTGGTACCAAGCCGGACCGCTGGACCAGAACCGGCAGGCCCGGCCCCGTACCACAGAGGGGATAACAGGCATTTCCGTATCGGCAACTAACTAAAGAGCAGGTGATCCTCACCTCTTAATCACAGAACCCGACTGAGGTCAGAGGTGGAATAAAACCGTGCCGACCTCAAGGGCCGGACTCGGCCACCCCAGTTTAGAATATCCCTGAACGAGGGGCGCCCAGCTCCAGCCCTGGGGGAACCCTGCTGCTGGATCGCTGATCCCCGCTAGACGAGCAGCCCTGCTCTAGTCCAGCCCTGTTTCTGGAGCCGTTCCCAAGTGTCAGCCGCTGCGGAGCAGGGGGGGTGGGTTCCTTTGTGACATCATAAAGGGAGGTCCTCCTATGACATCATAAAGGGGACAGCCCCGGCCAGAGGGCCACACCTGTTTCGCTGGTCCGGGCTTGAGGTCACGGCCCCTTGAGGAGCACGGGGACCAGCGGGCTCACACGCCCCCCCGACAGCGTCAGGGCCCTCTCCACTGCACTGGCGATGGACACGTGCAACACCGGGGCAGCCCCACTGGCGTTTCGCTTTTAAAAATATAAGAATGCTCTCCCAGATGTCCGCTGGGGCGTTCTGAGCAGGGGTACATCACCACCACCACTGGGGCACACAGAACACAGATAAAATAAAATATAAAAACAGGGAACCCGAGACCATACTGGTGTTTGCTTTCCTGATGGAAAGACCCAACAGAAACCTAGATTTTACACACTGTATGTCTCCAAGGACAAATAAAAC